CCAGCCGTACCTGTCCGCGGCAGCCGTCCCGCGGCAGCGACCCCACGGCGCACTGTGGCATGTTTCCTCCTCGGACACCGGTGCTGGAAAGTGCCCGGGACCCGCGTACTTATACCACAGCTTTCCGCACGCTTACGCTGCTGAACAAACACGCCGTGTTTGGTTTGGATGGGCCCCCGGCCCTCGCACAGCGCGAGCCTGAGCAGAGGTTACCAGGGAATGACAAAAGTGCTGTGACTTTGTGTTTTCCCTGTCTTCGCAACAGTGTCATCGTTGGAGCCAGGATGCTGCTCCCCAGGCGCTTGGGGCTCCAGTAATCTGCGCTGCACCCAGCAGTGCCAGTTCTCTGCAGTGCACACAGCTTCATCGGTACAGGCTGTTATTTGTCAATTGAGTAACAGCTTCCCCAACAGCGACCCAGGGCACATCACAGCATTTGCGCTTAGCTTGCTCTGCAAGTGTTCCGGCAATTTTTGTTTGCACCATATTGTATAAGAACAACGTAAAACCTCTGCAATGTTGTCAGACCTTCACAGCAATTGTGTTGCAGAAGAACAAACCATTATGAGGAATTTCCTAATTTTAAGAACATATTGTTCAATTCTTCTTTTTAGAGAAGTTCAACATCAACGCAGGAAATTCTATTTCACTAAAGCAGAAGAGGGCATGGGTTCAGTTCAGATCAGTGACATCTCTCTCCAGTCCACATAAAAACACAAAACTCTTTTTTTCTTATAGCTATCCACACCAGAATACAAATAAAGGTTTGCTAATACATTTGTACTGATGTTAGATGACAGTTTTCTATAGCTGAATTTCTTCTAATCCACCTCCAACAATAAACATCCATTATATTTACTCATGATGGAAGTATGTGATCCTAATTGTTTTAGCCAATACTAAAGTAATACAATACAGTTCATACAGTTACTTTTTACTTATATGAAAGTACATCATACGCAGGAATGTGAGACGGCACTGTAATTGATCCTCTTTAGAACATGCCTGTCACAAGCATGGCTTCATAACTGCACATACAGGACTTTCACATTAGTTACCAAAATTAATTTGGTAACTAGTAGATGACCATGAGTAGATTACGCCACGGAAGTGACAGGGCCTGCTCCTGCCCGGGGAAGCCTGGCCCTGGCTGCTGTGCATAGCCTGGCTCCCTGGCACGCATGTGGGCACAGCTCCCACTGCTCCGGGTGACCTGTGGGCTGCTCTAACAGTCCTCTCCTCGCTAGCGTGCAGATCTCCTCCTTGGCAGATAAATACCCTCTTGGCCGAGTGATTTGCCAACTTCAGGCATTGCTATTGCACCCACCACTGTAATACCTAGATACTGTACAGTGTGGCCTGACATCCCAACTCAGATTCTCTTAACTGCCCAGTATTAACTTTGTACGGACTCCTACTAATGGAGCCTGTCCAACTTCAGCACCTTTAATCATGGCAGTGAAGCAGAAACATCTGCCAAGACGCTCCGCTTTAAAACAAAAACCCTGTCATTGCAAGTTTAGGTGTTTGGCCCACCAGCAGTCACATCCCAGCAGAAGAGTACTGCAAATCCTGTT